AGCTTCACCGGGTAACGAGACACTGGATACTCCGGGTTGAGATGTGGAGGGATTCCCGGCCTCCTTTGATTATTAATGGAAAGTCTGCAACCTTGTTAAGAAAAAAAAAAAAAAAAAAAAAAAAAAATGATACCACGCGGGAGGGTGGGCGATAGGCCTTCGACAGCCTCCCTGCGCTTTTGTTGTCGACCCGGGGTGAGGTCCCACTAGCAAAGAGGGTTGGATAAATATCCTGAATCTGGACGTGTTTTACGCAGAGATGCGGAAATGCAGTTCAATTTCAACATTCTGCACGTTTCCGAAAACAAACCCAGATTCAGGTGTTTGAATTGAATCCAATCCTCTTTGCTAGTGGGACCTCGCCCCCCCCAAAATTCTGTTCTTTCTCCACTCTTCTCTCAACTTCTGTTTCTTTTGCCTTCCATTACCTACTCCTAAGACTATCTAGAGGGGACCCCTGCAACCCCCGCCAAAATTCCATGCTCCACGGCTGTTTTTTTTTTTTTTTTTTTTTTTTTTTTTTTTTTTAATATTGAACCCACGACGTCGTGAATGCCACTTCTGTGCCTATTCTGTCCTACTGGCCAGTCATCTTATGGAAGCTGGCCTCTGTTTGGGGCAGAGGGCTCACAATGGCGCTGACTAGGATAGGTCGCAGTCTTCTAGTGCGCGCAGAGACGGGGCTAGCGCCTCTGTTTGTTCGCCGGGTGACAGTGCAGGCAGAGACTTCCACCGATGGCGGCAGCGCCGGGGACGCCATGCTGCCGGTGGGAATCATGAAGGGGGAAATTGGTGAAGTATCCGGTGTGCCGATGGAGCACTTGAGGAGGAGGGTGGTGATATTCCAGCCGGCGAAAGTCGTCACTCAATCTGGATCGTCCAAGTGGAACAAGTGGGGGATCACCTTTCTCTCAACGAAGAAGTGGGAGAACCCGTTGATGGGATGGACGTCTACATCGGACCCATTGGCGAATGTGGGGGAGGCCGGGTTATCCTCTGACAGCAAGGAGTCCGCCATGCAATTTGCAGAGAAACATGGATGGGATTTCGAGGTCCAGGAGCCAGTGAAGACACCCAAGTCCTATGCCGAGAATTTCAAGTGGAGGGGTCCTGTACCGCAGAATTGAGCGGAACGTCGCGCAGGCAAATCTGATGCCTGCATGTTTGTGTAAATCCATAAACCTGTTAGAATGATGCCTATTGTAGTTGACGATGGATGTAATCTATATGTAATCTGCGACTGTAGATTATGTGAATTGTTCATCCATCGCTTAAGGCATCACTTCAGCTGCTCAACACAAATGGTACATGCTACATTATACTAATCAATCAATCCAGTGAGAAGCTGTTTTTTTTTGAGTGATTAAAAAAAAAAAAAAAAAAAAAAAAAAACTTTTGTGCCCTACCAACTGAGCTAGGCCCTCTGCAAAGCAACCAACAACATCAGCCAACGTCTTGCCAACGCTGGCTTGGGGGGCCAACGAGTTATCTCTAGCGTGTAGAACACCAAGCTTCCCCAGGCACGTACGTGAGGTCATTGGGGATTGAACCCCACGACCTCCTGAATGCAACTTCTGCGCCTTACCTCACCTGTAGCGGACCCACCAGGTGTGGTGCTCCGCTAGTGACAGAGATGGAGATGGAGGAAGAAGGGGGGAGCGAGATGGCACAACGCAGCTCCCCACGCAAGACTCCAACGCACGTACTCCAAAATGTGCAAGTGAGGAATGCCTGAAAACAGACAGTGGCTGGGGTATACCCCAGCGGACTGACGGGACTGGACTGGCTGGTACCGACAGAGGTACCGGCCTGGACTGGCTGGTACCGACAGAGGTACCGGCCTGGACTGGCCTACCCCGAATACAACCCAGGCCTGTGAGAACAGGCCAAGGGGCTGGTCTCACAGGCCAACCCGAGATCCGCTACACGATCCTCGGGCTGTGATGGATCGCCTAGATACAAACATGCTTCCGCCAAGAAGCGGAACTCTACCAAAGAAAAGAAAACCTGAGTAGTCTAGGATACGGAGCAAGCTCCATGTTGAGTCCATGCGATGCAACCTAGGATATAAAATGTCACAAAACAGCAATGTCACAGCTAACAGCCTAAGTGAAAGCAGAAGCAACTAACTAACATACATGTCCTAGGAAAACAAAAGCAACTAACTAGCATACATGTCCTAGGAAAG